TTTTTTTTTTTTTTACCATATACTGAAAAATATATTGTATATAAATACAACATATCCATAACATAATAAATCAAACGAAAAAAATTCTCAAAAAAGGTGATACATAATCAACTGAAACAAAATTATTAATCATACATATATTGAAGAGGAGAGAGAGAGAGAGAGAGAGAGAGAGAGAGAGAGAGAGAGAGAGAGAGAGAGAGAGAGAGAGTTCGTCGACTATCTCGCCCTCAGCCTCGGGTTGCCAAACTGCTAATCGCTCCTCAGATCCGAATCCAAAATACCGGTGTACGATTGATCATCGCTCACTATAAATCAAAGTCGAACCTTTCGCTTTTCTAAAGCGGGTCTGCCAGCGCCGCCACTCGAGACGCGAGCCATTGAAGATCAACGACCTCTCAAATGTTATCTGCCGCCAGTTTTGGGGTCCAGAAGCCTCACCTCAGGCCGCCGTGTTGAACTACGGTCCTAGCCGTGGAGGGTTGACACATGGTACAATTCGGACGTTGAACTCTATGCACCAAGATCGTCGAATGTTGAAGTGATCGGGTTTCTTATGGTTCGAAAATGATAAATTGTAATGGAATTGAAAGTAAGAATGAAAGAAAGAAAGTGAAAGAACAAAGAAGATAAAGACGATTCATTATTTGACTTCTGATAAGGATTAAATCCCAAAACATATGCCCATTATCCATAAAAAATTTCAACTTACATGTGTAAAAATTTAGACAATCTCCGCAGGTTTGCAATTAAAAATTCTATCTATAGTGCCACAAGCGACTGGGGAGGAGGACGTTTTGTATTGGGGGCTAGTTGCGGACAAAAAGTTCTCGACAAAGTCCGCTTACTTGTCCTTGATACCATCTTCGGGGCGACACCATCCGTGTATATGGAAATTGATCTAGAAGTGGGAGGGGTCGCAATGAGTTCGCCATTTCTTGTGGCTAGCAGCTCGCTGGCTTATTGACTAATGCAAGTAGGTACCAGCGACATATGGCTACGAGCTCGGTATGCATGCTATGTACGGGGGACTGTGAAACGACGTTTCATTCCTTAGGGGATTGTCCAGCCACAACTCATACGTGGAAGTCGTTAGTTCCTCGCACTCTGTGGGGTACTTTCTTCTCATTGGAGTTTAGTAGTTGGCTCCGGGGGGGAGGGTTCGCCCCGGAGGTGGAGAACTGGGAATCCCTTTTGGTCTCATGGCTTGGCGCCTTTGGCGATGGCGAAACCTTACAAATTTTTAAGGGACTAACCTGCCATTGGCACATCGGGTTGGTGAGGTAGTTCTTATGTAGACAGAGTGCGGGGAGTACGGGCCGGGTGCAGTAAAGTAGGAACATGTGGAGTGCGTGAAACACAATTTCTTGATCTTCACAGGTGGACGGCGAATTGAAGGTCAATACATATGGAAGCTTTGTCCCGGTGACGGGAATGACGAGTACGGGTGGTGTCATTCGAGACCACTCTGGGGGTGCGGGGCTTTCTGATGAATATAAGATTATGCTCTATCATAGGTGCACAGTTATGGGGGTTGTTCCAGGGCCTCCAGTTGGCTTGGGATATTGGGGCCCGAAGAATTAAAGTTGAGGTTGACAACTGTAGCATCATGGCTATGGTCGCGGACGAGTCTTACTGTGCTTATGGGAGCATTTTGCAGGGGGTTCGAAAACTAATGGGATGGCATTGGTCCGTGGAGATTGTGCATGAATATAGGGAAGCCAATTTTGTTGCGGGTGGCTTCTTTAGCGGCTAAGAGTCCGGGTGGTCTTCACAGGATGGAGTATCCTCTTCCAGGGGTGGGCTTATGGCCAGGGGCGGAGGTACATTGATGCAAACCTGGGCTATAGCCCGGTGACCACTTGAAACACCTTTAGTAAATTTACATAAAAAATGAAGTCAGACAAACAATAACCCACTTGTTTTTTTTTTTGTTTTTTTTTTTTTTGTTTTTTGGGAATGAAATCATACTAAATACTAGCTCACTTGTTTTTTTATAGGCTTGTTAGGCCAAACAATTAAAAATTACAGTTAAATACTTAAATTTTCATCTAATCAGCTTTTGGAATAACTGATTTGTTGTTGTAACTTGTAAGAACTAGAAGTTACATGTTTGAATACTCTTTTTTTTCTTTTGAAAAAAAAAATCGTGAGAAATCTATCTTATAAAATATATTGTGACAAAAATGTTCATTTTTTATTCATTTTTGTAAATATAATGTGTTAATATTCTATAGATATATTATCAGTTAAAATTAATACTACTTTGATGATCTACATATAGACATTCATATTGAATTTAATTTTATTTTTTAATTATTGGTATTTATTACCTATCATTACCAAATACAAGAATTATTTTAGCATACCAAAGTTATCTTAGGACTAATTTAATAAATATTATTTCAACATACACCTATTATTATTTATCTATTGATATTTTAATTTTTAGAATTTACTTATTAATTTGTGTTGTTAGTTTATTTTTGTATTTTATTTTTATTGATGGTAAATCTAAAATGAAATACTTGATACATCGAAATTTTAAGACATGTTAGTAAAAAATAAATTCCAAATAAAAATTTATCTAAATAACTTTAGTCTTTAGTTCGGGTGAATTTTAAATTCTGGCTTCGCCCCTGCTTATGGCTACATCATGATATGATCAACGTGTTCTATCTTCTATCCTCGAAAAATTCTTAAATAGTTTGTTGTGTAGGCTTGCTTCCATTTCTCGTACCAAAAAAAAATTATGTCTCGTAGATATATAATAAAATAAGATTATGTCGTGCCTAAATAATTATCTCTTTTTTTTTTTTTTTTTTTTTTTTTTTTTTCCTTCAAATTTTCTCTTAACATGTAGGTACAGTTCAATCTAACGCTGCAAACTCGAAAATATTCGGTTTGAATATGCCCATGATCGAGAGATCCACTGCACACGCGTACACACATACCTTTAATTTAGCCATGGCGGCTTAATCATCCAGTTTTCTTCGTTTACAAGCTGTTTGGGAGCTGAAAAAAAAATAATTACGTGATTTTATGCTTGGAACTGTTGTGCATTTGATTGGGATTAGCGTTTGAAGTGGTTAATTGGACATGCTTAGAGGCGGAAATTGTTGAATTTAGTTGATCATTAACAATTTGGTGAAAATTTCATAGGTGGGTCGTTCCCATTATTTTGATTTAGTTGTTATTTATCCGGTTCTTGATTTGTTGTTTCTCTTGTCCAGATCTAAGTCGGTATACAATTGCTGACAAATGGCAGTGTGAGTCTGCTTGTTCTAGTTTTAATTACAGTATGTTTTTGGTTCTTGGTAATGATGTGTTAGTGATCGTGTCCTGATTGATTAATGAGTAGGGTTGCTTCTGCTCCGGGAAAAGTTTTGATGACTGGTGGATATCTTATTCTGGAGAGGCCTAATGCTGGGATTGTACTTAGTACAAATGCCCGATTTTATGCTATTGTCAAGCCGCTTTATGAGGACCTTAAACCTGACAGTTGGGCATGGGTATGTGATGCTCTGTGGTAGAACCTGATAATGTGTGGTTCAATTCTATCTCCAAGTTTGATCCTTGAATGGATAATTTTGATTCACCAAATGTTGACACTCTTGCCATACCGCCTGTTCATTTTATTTGGATTGAGTTTCCAAGATTTCAATTGTATATCCTATTAATCCGTTCTCTCATTCTTACCAAAATTTCATTGTAATTCAGGCATGGACAGATGTGAAACTGACATCTCCTCAGATGGGTAGAGAAACTATGTATAAACTGTCTCTCAAGCACCTGCAGCTACAGTGTGTATCTTCAAGGTGAAAAATACACCATTTAAATTTTCTATGTACTGGACCCTAGTAACTGTGGTGTGTTTACGTGTACTTAAGAATTGAACCTAATGATTGAAGCCTGAACCACTTTTTCACGTACTATAATTAATGCTTATATGAGAGAATTATTTCCCTATGCCTACTCAGTGATTCAAGAAACCCATTCGTGGAATATGCATTGCAATATGCTATAGCAGCAGCACATGCGACATTTGACAATTCTAAGAAGGAGGAGTTACATAAACTTTTGTTGCTAGGTAAAGTTGGATATGAAACTCCCGACATTTCTTCTAAAGCTAACTGAACCTAGAAATTCTAATGTCTGTTCTGGTCTAGCCATTCAGGTCTGGACATTACGATTTTAGGCTGCAATGAGTTCTATTCATATAGAAATCAGGTATTCAACTTCGCCATTATTCTACTCTATTTTTTACCTGACAATTTGCTTAATTTGGCAATTGGGCCATGTGTGAATGATATTTATGATATGAAATTATAAAAACTAACTTTTTCACAAAAGCGAAATGATTTAAAAGTTACGCATGCACATGGATATGAAACTATTTTTGTGAAAATGCTTCTTTCAGAATGTAATGTGGTACCTATTTTTTTCCAATTTTACAAGTATTGATGTTGGACGGGTACTCTCTCTCGCAGATTGAAGCACGTGGCCTGCCTCTAACTCCCGATTCACTGGCTTCTCTCCCACCTTTTACTTCGATTACCTTTAATGCAGAGGAATCTAGTGAACAGAAGAGCAAACCCGAAGTTGCCAAAACTGGATTGGGTTCGTCTGCAGCTATGACAACTGCAGTTGTTGCTGCTTTACTTCATTACCTTGGAGTGGTCAAACTTTCCGTAGCAAATAGTTCTCTTCCAGGGGATCAAGCCTCAAAGGAACTGGATCTTGTGCATATCATAGCTCAAACTGCTCACTGTATAGCGCAGGGCAAAGTCGGTAGCGGTTTTGACATGAGCTCTGCTGTTTACGGAAGTCAAAAGTATATCAGGTTTTCGCCTGAAGTACTTTCTTCTGCTCAGGTATGTGGCTTCCTTGTCCTGGAAATGTTATTATGTGGGGTTCTGTAGAAATGAGTGTTTCTTGCTACCATTGCGATGTGAAGTAGCAAATTTCATTTTTATATGTCTATTTTTTTCAGTGGAGGTTGTGGTAATGTTAGAACATGCTTGCTTTATCGTGTGTTCGTCTCCTGGAAAATTGATAGCTGATGTATTGCAGGATGCTGCTCGAGGGCTTTCAATACAAGAGGTCATAGGAGATGTGCTAAAAGCCAACTGGGATCACAAGAGGACGAATTTTCAATTGCCACCGATGATGTCACTGGTGAGTAAGATAAAGCATAACCGATTTGATGATAGTCTAATCAAATGCTTTTATCTTAGTTTCGAAATGTGTCAGTTACATCCAGTCCAATCTTCACTAACTAATGTCATCTGCTGAGGTTCTTCATATTTGAAATTCCAGGCAAGGGTCTCCAGTAATATTTTGATATGGACTTATAAAATCATGATTTTGGGCAGTGTGCCATTAACAAAGAAATGTCTGCATAGAACATATTCCTGCCTTTCTCGACATTAGGGTACCAGAATTTCTTAAAGTCAATTCACTTAGTCCTAGTTTTGGCTAAATAATAATAAGCCTTATTTAGATTCTTCTAAAACTGTCAAGTCTCAAGTCTGTCTGATCAGACACAACCAGGTCGTAATTAATCCAGAAGTGATGAGTTTACTTTTCTTGCTAAACTTAGTAATACTGTAATCATTATCGTCCAATGTCGAGGCATATTTATCCTATTAGACCTTTAACGATCTCATTTTTGTATTATATGTTAAAGAGTTACCCACTCTTGTTTCCATCTTAAAAAAGTGCGGAAAAGAAAGGTAAATTGGGAGAGAAAAGAGAAAAAAAAAAGTGCAAGAGATTTTGAAACCTAGGATTTAGATATCTGGTGTTAACGTCTAAAATATTTGGTCTCGTACTTAGTCGCGTGTGGTGCATGTGCAGGTACTTGGGGAACCAGGAACAGGGGGGTCCTCAACACCATCAATGGTTGGTGCTGTAAAGAAGTGGCAAAAATTTGATCCTCAAGGCTCGTTCGAAACATGGAAGAAGTTGTCGGAAGCGAATTTAGCACTTGAAATGCACCTCAACACCTTAAGCCAATTGGCAGAAACAAATTCCGATGCTTATAGAATAACTATTGAAAAATGCAGCAAACTTACGTCTGAAAAGGTAAGCCTAAATTTGTTCCACCCATATATTCTCGTCGTATGTGATTATAATTTCTACAGCTCTATCAAATGAGTTCTCTAACGACATTTTTAACAGTGGGCAGAGGGAGTTGTGGAATTTAACCAAATAGAAGTGATTAAAGCATTGTTAGGAGCTAGAGATGCCATGATTTCAATCCGGACTAATATGCGCAAGATGGGTGAGGCTGCCGGAATTCCTGTAAGTTCTTTTTGATTAATTTAGTTCTAAACTAATTGAAATGAAAAAATTTGTAACTTCTGCATTTATTTATTTCATAAAACTACCTTTGTGATTCTAAGGTGATGTTCTTAGGGACATGGCTGATTGAAATTCTTGAGCAAGAAATTTAAGTAGAGTGGCTGACCGTCTTTTATCTCGGTAGATGAAACTTTTTGACCTTTACCGAAAATCTGAGACTCTCCTTTGCAGTTAGCATTTGATTACTCACACTTAATGTTTCTATTTTTGCTTTATGTATTAACTTTACTCCCGTCAATAGTTTCACTGTTGCCTTCTATTGTAAGTACGTTAATCAGCTCGTTCGTTTTGCAATACTTAATAATAATAATACTAACAATAATAATAATAATAAATAATAATAATAATAATAATAATAATAATAATAATAATAATAATAATAATAATAATAATAATAGTATAAAGTACAAGAACCAAACTACGATACCTATTTAATCCCATTCGTTATTTCCTTTTTTGTTTCTTTTTTTGTTTCTTGATCATGAATGCCCTTTTTGCAGATAGAACCGGAATCACAAACCCATCTGCTAGATACCACGATGAATACAGAAGGAGCTCTATTGGCTGGTGTTCCCGGTGCAGGTGGATTTGACGCGGTTTTTGCCATTACCTTGGGAGCTTCAAGCAGCAATGTCGTGAAGGTCTGGAGTTCGCTCAATGTTCTGGCCTTGCTAGTGAGAGAAAATCCACGTGGCGTTCATCTAGAGGCCAACGATCCACGAACTACCAAGATTACTGACTCGGTTTCTAACATTCATATTGGGTAAGCTCGTTAGTTTATGCTGCTACTTGTGTTTTTAGCAATTGAATTTGAAATAGAATTGTTGTATTTTTCTGACACATTCAGATAAAAATAAAAAAGTTTGTGAGTGATGTTTACTAAACGGAAACTATTTACTAAAAATAAGGAAATAAAACTGGCCTGTTGTATTTTCTTTTTGAAATACTTTTGCAATTTAGGCATTGAATGGTGTTGGAGCTGAAAGATATTCAGGAGTTTTTTTGTTCATGGTTCAGTAATCTTCAATTTGGTATCTATGATCTAATTGTTTTATTTACTGCTTAGTTTCAAGACCTTGAATTGTACCTTGGATTTCTTGGGGGTCCTTTTTATGTTGGTACAAATTCCAAAATGGACTTGCTTTTAGAAAATAATAAGCTGATTGTTAGTCGGAGCCGACGGTTGTCGATAGGCAATCTTCATGTAGTTTCATGTTGAAGTGAAAACCCAACGGCCAACGGTTTGATAGACAATCGTACTTTTGCAACAGATTCGTATATTTTCATACTGAAATGTTTTGTTTTGAATAATAACATTACCAAAATATGACATTTATGAAATAAATTGACCTTTTATTCAGAAAAAGTGTGCGGTCTAAAGATTGTGTAGTCTAACAAGGCTTGTATTTAAGAAACACACTTCCATGAATTGGAATTTTTATCAGCTCTGATTGAAAGTCTGAAACTTGTTTGAATTATTGAATGTCCAGCTTGGCAACTCAAAGGATTAGTCATATATACATGTTGTATTTATATAAATCGTCATAAATATTTACCACGTAAATATATACACATTACTTTATCTAATTTAAAAAAATATTATTTGTATATATGTGTTCGGGTCAAATGGGATGACCAGACGGAGTCAATGTCTGGGCCTACCGGGTTGCTTTTTAACCAATCTGAAAGTCCCCACCCGTGCCGGGTCCACCTCCGGGTAGATTATTGCCGGTCGGTCTAAGTAAAGATACACTAATTTTTAGCAAAAAAATAGATACAAAAAATATCAATGATGCCAAAGTTTCACAGAAGGTAACATTACAAAATTATTATTTATAGATTTTGAATATGATGTGATGTGAAAAATAGCAAATATATATATATATATAAGTTATATCAAATTTTATGTTATTTTGTTTGCTACTGTAACATGACCGTTTTCTATTTTCACATAGTTTGTTAGAAGTTGTCCACCAAAAATTTGGACACATATAACCACTCCATTTATTTCAATTGCAGCTGTTTCAGTAGTTAGCAAAAGCACAAAATTGACAGGGAAAAGTAGGTGAAATTTCCACCATTTATATGCCATTGGTTTCAAGAATTTTTAAATTTTGTTGGTAGTTAATATTTGTCTTATTGAAATTGTAAATAAATAGTAATTTATTTTAATAAATACTATTCATTTCATTTCTTTTTTTTTTCTATACAAATCCCACTAACCCAATTAAGAAATATAAAATAATAATTATATACACATTTCTAATAAAATATACTCGTCCATTCACACATTTCTAAATCAATCAATTTTATTATTTTTATATCATATCAATTCTCGTTATCACATTTTTATCTTGTATATGTTCACAATATCAAAATTATCTTTCTTTTTTCCTATTTTACTTTTTCGTCTCACCTTTTTCCGGATGCGAATTTTTTCCGGAGAACATCGTTGTGTTCTATTATGAATAAATAAATAAATAAATAAATAAATAAAATAAGGATCTCATGTTAAATGTATAATGAGATGCTGAGCATGATTGGATACAAAATTTTTCAAAAAAATCCATACATTTTTAACTCAACTATTTTTTTAACTCAACTTTAACTCAACTCTACTATCATCAACATTATCAATATAATTAAATAATTTCAATCAATCATTCATACACAACACATCAACCTTAAATCACTATTCATCTACTCACATTATTTTAACTAACCATCACTTCAAGTTTTTTCTCTCCTATTTTACATCAAATCAACTTTAATCATTTTATTTTAAATAATATTTTCATATACCTACTAACAGCTAATCATACCAACTTTTTCAAAAATAACCAAATCAAACAAAAAAATCAAAACAAAACCAAAATTTTTTATATCCAATCCGATTGTTTAATTCTATATACCAATAAATTATGCTAATCCAATTCAATTTTCAACTCTCAATTTTTTTTATAAACACCCGTGGATGAAAGAACAAAAAAGATATTATGGGCGTGATAAGCCTTTAAATCAATGGCAATAATTGCTTTTTATAAAGGCTGTGTATTGTATAAGGTGAGGCTTTAATTATGTGATTCTAAACATGTTTTCCCCACATAACTTTTTTATCTAACTTTTTTCCTTTGACATTGGAGCATAAATTTACTATACATACAGTGTAGGGTTATTGCTCCCCTATTCACCGTGCGCACATATTAATATGCTCACCGTGGGTAGTGGAACATTACTGTACAGGATAATGCGTACCTTAGCGTACCTTATATTTATTTATTGTATTCAATAGGTATATGAATGTGTAGATTTGTAACTGTTCATTAAGTTTATTAGGGTGTGATTGTTTATGATTTCAACTCAAAAAAAA